CTTTCTCCAAAGAATCAAACAAAACTGAGGTAAATGGCTCCTCCGCAGACAGGGAAAGATTGTCATCTGTAGCACCTCGGACTGTCCTATGTATTCCCTGCCTCATCTTCTCTCTCCAAGAAGATAAATAGAAACAGAGGATCTCACCTAGTTCTCACTATCCTCTCAAAGGTGATTGCACACACAGAAGTTGCTTGGAGTGTTATGGAAGTTGATATTTCGTGAAGCATTGTGTCTCTTCTTTTAGTCATTCAACTGAGACAAGTTATAAAAATTAAGATGCTGATTATTTTAAAAGTCTGGACAGTGTCGCAGCTGCAGCTTTTTGTCAAAGTACTCCCCCAGAAAATTGTTAGTGTTTCATGTATTACAGCTGGATACGTAATGGAAGGGTTTGGGCTCTGTGCAATGAGAAAGGAAAAGAAAGCTGTTTTGTAGTGCTGGAACTGTTGGAACTGTTGCTTTTCCCGAGCCATACTTGCCTCAATAATCCTGTGACCTGGATTTCTCGGTAGGAGGCATAAATTGTAATAGGCAGTCCTATAACTGTCTTTAGAAGCTGAGGGCATGTGAAAAATGATCTTAAAATAGCAAAAGTACTGCTGAAACAACTTCAATATTATACTCATTGCCAGGTAGGATTTACTCTAAACAGAGACCCTAATATTCTAGCAACATCAGTGCTGGGGTTGTATACGAAAGCAGATAAATTAGCAGATGTTGTTGGAAAATGCATCGTATTTTAGTAAAGTGGTGTGGGAAGTTTGGATATTTTGGGCCAAATTATAATTGTATGTATCAAATATATATATATATAGTGTGTTGAATTCTGTAATATTCCACTCTTGTAAATTATACTTTTTCCTCTGCTTAAATATCCATGCAGCATAACACAAGTGAAAATCCCCGGATTTAAGTTGCATGACTCTGAGGGTAAACATGAGTGAGCTTTTACATAGTTTTAGTGCTATTAAAAACTGTCTAACCTGCTCTCTGTTCTAATGAAAGAAAATGACAGTGTTTCAGGCTTGGAATTACACGAGCGCCCTACTTCTGGGAAATGGACTAGAGCCTTTGGGTTTAAACACCTAATATTTTCAGTTTTACATTCCTAGAAGAGTAACTTCAAGTTTCACTTTTCTTACATTTATTATTATTATTAATGTCATGTAATCCACAGGTGGACATTATTTAAAGCAGGTACAGTCACTTTAGTTTTAATGATGAGTGAGTCTACTGTGTACTACTACTTGAATTGATTGCTTTGTGCAAAGAAGTTTATTTTCCAGAAACGCATGCAATGATGTATAATAACTTGTTTTGCCAAAGCATAGGATGTTTTTCCTTTCATCTGAGGGTGTTTTATTGCATGTATTTATTTTTCTTTTTGCTAGGAATTATTTGTAACACCCAAGGACCAATATGTTGAGCCAGAAGTTTTGATAACAAATGATTTAATATAATACTTTGTTTGAAGTAATAGAATTTACTTAGTGCAACAAAGATTTATAAATTGGTCAGCCTGAGCACTAGCGCACGTCACAGGGCCTAATTCCTGTTTGACTCTAAAATAATGCAGTATGACTCAATCAATAAAATAAAGATGCCCTTTTAGAGCATATCCTGTAGTATAGCGAGAAACATAGAGCTTTCTTGTTAATGCAAGAGTCAAAATTCGTTTTAGGCAGGTAGTTATGCCAGTGGAGGCGCTGCCCAGTAGGCAAGGGTTATAGGTAAATATAAAAATGTACGTGAATGTTACCTACATTGAGAAATGATGTATTTCAGCACTTAACTGCATTTAATGCCACATTTGCACATTATGAAATGAATAATATGGTTATTTATTGAGAGCTTAATTTTGTTGTCTAATTTTTTGTTGAGTAATTGTTAGGGATTTTTTTTTTTTTTAGTGGAACCTCACAAGATTGACTACAATAACACCTAGAAAGCCTTTAGCATAGCTTTGCATGGTTAAATACGCACAAGCGTAGGAAGGTCTGCAGTGTTGTCAAAGACCATGGACATCACTGTTTTGCCTGGGGCATAAACTGATAGAAAGTGTATTAAGTGTTGCAGAGGAAAGAACTGACAAAGGGAGAGAGCTGATCCCACTTCACGCAAAGACGAACTCTGAAAAGTATCTTGTAATAATGCTTATTATGTTTCTAAATTAAACATAAAATCTTGCATGCGTGCCGAAAGTCTGGGATGTAGTTGCTGAAGAGCAGTGGTGACAGTCCTGAATTCTGCTTCTATTCTGCTCTGTCAGAGTTGTGCTGCGTGACTTTGGGCAAGGCACTTAACTTCTCATTTCGACTCCTGCAATGGGGATGATATTACAGAAAAATTTATAATGATATGAAGTATTAAAACACTTTGCTGTATTTTCACTGGTCCTTATAGAAGCTGTGCTGCCCCTCAGTGAGTATGCACTATATGGTTGGAAACTCATCAAGCATGAGACTACTTTTGTAAAATTATCTTGACATGGTAACTACAATGAAATCAAAATTTCAGCTTGAGGGAGAAAAAATGTTTCTTGATGTTCCCTTAGGAGATTGTATGCGTGTTGCAACATTAATATAGGTATGTAGGATTAAAGGGAACATCTGACTGTCACTGTCCACCACGTCTTTTATGCATTAATAATGCTCAGCCTTAAAAGATGCCTGTCTCCATAATTCCGGTTTGAAAGCTACTCCAAAATCTTGCTCCTGGAAGTATGACGTTTCTTCATGGTAATGTAGCCATATCTTGTTGTTATCACTTGGCTTAAATATTGATATGGGTTCCCTCCCCCTCCCCCATTTCGGTGTTTCTACATCTCATGTTCTGTAACGATCATTTTCTCTCTCACCTTCCAGTTTTCATAAGCCTGATGATAAGCTTCTTGCAAGACAGGCTGTCTGTTGCCTCTCATCTTAGTAGCCTTTCCCTAAACTCCTTCTGTTTTCAAGGAAGATGAATTCCAACTCAATTCCCAGAACCGTACAAAGTATTTCCATCTCATTCTTACCGTACAAAGTGATGCTCGCCTAACTTGAAATAGCTCTCTTGATATCTTCTAATATTTTAAACAGACTGGTAGATATCCAGATTTCTTTCTTAAGTATAAAGCTTTTATGAATTGTGTCAGCATCAGTTTCGGAAAGCTGGTGCTGCAGGTACTCCTTGTTGAGAAGAGACTTGATTTCATGAGTGCTTTCCCATGATTAAACAGCCGCAAACCTTCCTTGCAACACTAATCCTTGAGCCATCTGCAGATCTTTATTATCTGTTTTGTGCCTGCTTTACTTCTGTGGGGGTCAGAAGAATTTAACTGAAGATCAGTTGGATTTCCACTTGTTGAAGCATCTCGCCCAGCCTAGCATTACATATCCTGAAGCCTTTCTAGTGAAAATCTTGCATTGCCATGTGTCGTGATATGAAAGGCAGTCACTGAATTTTTCCCCACTCCTTTCAGGTTCCTTTTTTGTTTAATGTCTGCTGTTTTTAGCCTGGCTCCTCTCAGCCAGAAGACCTGTCTGTTCTGGATCCACGCTGGTAAGAGGCCTGTCAGTCCTCAACAAGGAGTCCCCAGCTGTGTAGATCAGCTTCCCTCCCTTCTCCTCTGCCTTCTGCCAGCAGATTATTGTGCCTCCTGTCTTTTCACATAATCTGTTGTTTATCATTCTCATTCACTCTTGGTCCCTGGCTGTCTTCATTTGCTTTCTCTGCTTAGAAGACTACATGCTCTTCTCCTTTATTATGCCGTCTCTGTTTCATTTCATCCTTCAGTAAAATAAAACTTTTCTCAACTCTTTCTCTATCCTTGCAACGAGCTATTTCTGTCAAGAGGTTTATTGTCAGGTTGCTTCTTTTTCAGAAGGCATCAGAAAATTTTAAGGTGTTCATACACTTCTGTCCTCTTCTCTGTGTGAATTCCATCACTTCTTACCACTGCACTTTTTGGTCCTGCATCTTCTCTTCCATGTATCATATGTAAATAGGATCTTGGAGATACCTATGTCAGGATGGTGTAAATCATCTAACTTCTGCCTGCAGTCAGCTCGCTCTGCTGCTTTTCAAGTCTTCTCATTGCTTCTTCCCTACCCTTGACTTTAAGGGGAAAAGCAGACACGTTTCTTCACAGGCTCCTGGTTACTGTGGGCAGTTTTGTTGTCTTTCCTGGTTGCTGGCTGCTTTGTGTTGAGTCTTTTGAGTGATCCCTCGTATAGGTACTTTGATTACCTATGCCTCAGTTGTGATGAAAAGGAGGGAACCTCTTCCTAGACCCTAAGTCACTGAAGATTCAGTTTTTGAGCTGGGCTGTCAATTCAAAAGAACGAGTTCATGCATTTTTTTTTTGAAAAATGACCTTGTAGACCTTCCTGGAAATAATATCTTCTCTGCCTCTTTGTCAAACTGCCCCTTTCTGGATGGCTATCAAAATGTTTGCAAAAATATGCATCTTGAGCTTTTTCACATTCCGTTGACCGCATTGAATAAATGGAGAGCGGTAGGAGATTTGCAGGATCAGTAAAAAGCAGGCAGTCGTACCTTGCGGACACCTCAGGTTCCCAAGGGAGGGAAACATGGATATAACCCTCCACTAGAGCATAAGGAATAAAGGAGCAATGTTAAATATCCTGTGAAGCAATTTACTGGGTCTTTTCCCAACAGCAGATGTAGCACCTGGATTTATATAGGTTAATTCTGTCAAAGAGATGAGTCTTTATAATTTGTAGCCTAGAAAATATTTCACAATTATTCAGGGCACAGACAAAAGACCAGAAATACAAATAAAGGCCAAGACCTCACAGCAGTTGAATCTTTTGTTTTACTCAACAGTAGGCTGTACATCCCATTCTGTTGCGCTCTCCAGAGCTACGAAACAAAGGAAGCCTGTTGGTGTTTACTTTGGCTCGAGGTGGAGACAGTTATTTTAAATGAGTTAATAAATGGAGTAGGGAACGATGATGGTTTGCATAATTCTTTTCTTCTTTTTCTCTCTCTAGGTCACTCAGATGAGTCGCCCAGATTTGATTCTCTTTCTCATGAAATATCTTATGGCTTTGGTAGTTGGAATACCCTCTGTCTTCTGGGTTGGAAGCAAAAAGACCTGTTTTGAGTGGGCTAGCTTCTTCCACGGACGCAGGAAAAAAGAGTGAGTATCGATATGTAATAGATAAACTAGCTGAGTACGGGCAAATAAACTTACCTTCCCTTGTAGTAGTGGAGGAGTATTTCATTAGTTCTTTAGGGAGGCAAAGACAGGAGTAGCTTTTTTGGAAATCTCCTGCTATTCAAAATGGAGCAAGCCCCCCCATTCCCCCCTAAACCCCAAAGAACTGTCACATATTTTGCCACAATTAATTTTTGGTCACAGAATCAAACTTACACTGTTTTATCTGTTTTCAAATTTTTTTTTTTTTTTTTTTTTAGAATTAGGATTCAATTGAATACTACAAATTCTCTGCTGTTTGCTGAAAGGTGGAATTGAGAGCTTTCATTTATAAAGCTGCCTATCTATTCAACCTAATCAGATCTTTTAAAGCAAATTGAACATAAGACTTTTTTAACGATGATTGCATTTAAAAGCAAGTTGTCTGTGCTTTTAATCTTTCTCATATACATCAGACATTTGTACCAAAGCACAGTTTGATATAATGATGGTGAGACTAGCTTATGGCTTCTTTAAGGCTGAAACTTCATTTAGACTAAGACATGTCATAAATTTAGAGGACAATTTTTATGATTAGATATAGCTATGAATAGCTGTTTTCATAATCGTAAATATCCTGTGAGTAGTTGTTTCAAAATAAACACTCGCTGTATCTGTGGATCTAAGTAATTGCTCTGTGACTCTGACTTGTCTGTCCTTAGCAGAACTGGCTTTCTGCTGAAGTTAAACTACGTTCTGTAGAGCTGGACCAAATTTTTCTTTATTCAGAAAATAACCTAGTGAGATACACACACAGTTAACAACTTAGTATGATTTTAATACATGTGCATACCTTTAGATAGGATTTACATAGGGGTAATATACTAGCTTGGTAGGTAGAAGATGGGAGTTAGAGATAAAGGGGCATAGGAAGCTGCTTTGCAGGACTGCCTTATCTTGGATGTGCTATCTCAAGTAAAGAACTGGGTGGCTCCTGGAAGTGCCATCCTCTGTCCTCTTGTAATTAGGCAGCAGAGCAGCTCCCACACAGAGCAGCCGTCTGGCTGGAGCCAGATTTCTTTGCTGCTGGTTCAGCGCAAAGGGGCAGAGCCAACGCAAAGATCCCTCCTCAGGTAGTCTGTGATCTCCAGGAGCAAGAAAATTAAGAGGAGGAGCTAGCAGGGGGAGGAAACCGAACATGAAAGAATGAGAGAAGGGGAAAAGGTCTCCCCACAAAAAAGAGATTGAAGAAAAGGATGAAGCAGAGGATGTGATAGCACCTCCTTTCATCAGGCTATGGTAGAGCGGCCAAGTGTGTGCCTCTGCCAGCACTTCACAGCAAGGGGCTTCAGCAAACAGAAAAACTGGCGGCTGTAACCACTGATCTAAGGGCTACAGTCCAGTTGCTTAGGCATTATTGCATATGTTGTATTTCATCTGATGTTCTCCTGTTGCTGCCGGTTTTAATCCAGATTTGAAATGCTTCTTTGAGGGAGAAAGTGGCTTCCCCTGTTCCCTAAGGGCAGTTCTCTGGGTAATCTGAGCTTGCCAAGTCACAGCGCTATCTCAAGGATTTTCTTGTAACAATATTTGCAGACTAAGGCCATAAGCAAATACACTGCAGTTATTCCACGTCTAGGCTAGAAGACCAGGTATGGACTATGAAGGATTGAAGAATATGGACTTCTGCTAAAATAAAATACCCAAATTTAAGGGTGCTGTCAAATTAGGCAAATAGAGGCATTTTAATGTAAATAAATGGTCTTATTTGCCAAGCTGTAATATTTGACTGTTCTGTATGTAAAATACTTATGCTTGGAGTGTTGTTACTGTGATCACTTTTATGCCTCATACGCTGCGGTAATTAATGTTAACTATTCAAACTGTATGACTTGTTTAGAGTTGTAAATGAGAGTCGTCAAGTGCTGCAAGAGCCAGATTTTGCCCAGTCTCTTCTGAGAGATCCTAACACCCCCATCATCCGAAAGTCAAGAGGCACTTCCACCCAGGGCACCTCGACTCATGCCTCCTCCACCCAGCTGGCTGTGATGGATGACCAAAGGAGCAAAGCAGGCAGTGTCCACAGCAAAGTGAGCAGTTACCACGGCAGCCTGCACCGATCGCGTGATGGCCGGTGCGTTTCGTTCTCTTTCAAAATCATATGGTCAGTCACCGTGAAGAAGCCTCTACTAGCTGCAAGTTTGGCCGTCATGATGTTAAAATCTGAACTTTTGCTAATACTTACTTTCTCTGATTGCATCTCCTCTCCCTTCTAGTATCTGGATTGGAAAGAGGAAAAATGTCATGATATTTTCAGAGTCTACATTAGTCTTAGTGAATTATGCAGCGTGAATGTATTCAGCACTGATTTTCCTGCAAAGTCGGTGGTCTGTGTTATGTCATCTTAGCGCATGGGAAACCGATCTATCCCAAAATCAGTTTAATGCTTCTGTGGCTTTTTTGTATGTTTCTCTGTTTATAAATTAATTTTGTTTCTGTAAATAGTCATAGCCCTACTGAAATAAACAATAATAAAAGTTACCCACTCTAACATGAGGTGTAATTAAGGATTATAACATAATTTATCACCAAGTATTTGCTCACCTAATTACCAATACTGTGCATAGTACTTGGTAAGAACCGAGCTGCATAAAGGCATGGAACAATTTGCCTGAGGCTGTATAAGCTAAATGAATGAGCTAAATAGAGAGCAACTTTTTTCATAAAAGCAGAGCGCGCGCATGCGTGTGTGTATGTGTGTGTGCACATGCAGCAAGATTTATTTACATTCTTTCATGACCATGGTGGTAATGATAATAATTGTCCTCTATTTTTGTAAATCAGGTACACTCCCTGCAGCTACAGAGGCGTAGAAGAAAGACTACCTCATGGCAGCATGTCACGACTGACTGATCATTCCCGGCATAGCAGTTCTCATCGGCTTAACGAACAGTCACGTCACAGCAGTATCAGGGATCTCAGCAGCAATCCAATGACACACATCACGCACGGGACCAGCATGAATCGCGTTATCGAAGAGGATGGAACCAGTGCTTGATCTGCTCTTATCATAAAGGCATCGTTCATGTGGCTGTACAGCTCGCAGTCCGTTTCTCAGTGATGTGATAATGCTCAGTATTATCATGCCTCTCATCGGGTGCTGATTTTGTGCATCAGGAAGCCAAAAATGGCGCGTTCGTTTTAAAGCCAGCGTTCTTGTACTTGCGTCAGAGCTAGAGTGTTCAGCAGTCTTGAATTATCGAGTAAAAAGCTGGTTGCCTCATTTGAACCTATCAATAGGTAATTATTTATTCGATAGCTATTATTTTCCCATCAGACACCATTGCTGAATTTCTTATTCTTTGTTTAAAGAAATCTTCCCCTCCCTCCAATGTGTCCATATGTCAGTAAGTGTTACCCTTGAAAACTCGCCGGCAAGGTCACGTTGAGAGTTGTTCAAATAGGCATAAGGAAACTCTTGAATATTGAAGGAATTCTTCCACGCAACTCCTTTGTCTCTAATTAGATAATAAACCGGTGCTTGTTTTCATCAAGCTCAGAGGGAGGGACGCATATTAAATACTGTATAACGGACATCTGTGAGAAATCGGCAGGCATTTTTAAACAGTAACACTGGAAATGCAACAAAGGAATGAGCCTTTTGGAGAAGGAAAGGAAACTCCACTGCTGATCACCAGCTCTTACCCGAGCTGTGCAGGCTCAGTTGTGGGGATGGGGGTGGGGTGGGTGGGGAGAGAGAGGCAGGAAATGGTGATTTTTGTATAACTTGTATTGTCCTTGCTTTTTTACAAAATAATATTTAAATTTTCTACTTGTTTACAATTTATGTAGGAAGAGATCAATTTTAAAACCAGTTATCTAGATAATATTCAGCCACTTATTTTTAGAGTAATGTACAAAAGCTGAGATCGCCTGTTCCTGGTCTATTTAAAAAAAAAAAAAAAGAAAAAAAGAAAAAGAAAACCTGAATTTGTCACCCAAACCGGAATGTGCAGCCTTTTCCTTACAAACAGAACAAATCATGTTCACCACCCCCACAACCTGGGTGAGGAGGGCTTGGGCCAAAATGGACACCAGGAGCTTAATCAGGGATGGCCCACCTTCCTTGCAAAATCACAGCTGATTTCTGCGAGGGTTCACTTTCTGGGAGCAGGAGCAGGAGGTTAGAACAGGTTGGGAGAAATCGTGGCAAGAGCTTTTTTCTTTCCGTTCCCTACTATAGATTCAGAGTAGTAGAGAATTCTCAGTTTTTGATTTGGGGTAAATTGTTGTGTGTAAATAAGCTGTCGGGGTACATCAAGTCGTTGTTGACGCTACAGGAGGAAGTCAAGGCATGCTTTGGATGGACGGTACAGTAGATCCACTGAAGCATCTGCTCTAAGGTTCGTTCACCATGAGGAAATACCGATTACATTTAAACCTACCTCAGTAATTACTACAGATCATTGCTGGGAAGCGAACACTTATTTTTTCATTGTCCTTACGTAATTCCCTTGCTGACCTGTTTGAGGCATGTTGAAAAGCCTTTGTACATGCTCGGATGGCACAACGTCAAGGGCAGAGACAGGGCAACAAGCACGATGAGTACTTCAGGGGCCGTTGTGAACGGCAGAAGCTGAGCTATGCTGCGATTACTCATTTTAATTGTAGCTGATGACACAGCAGCAAAGCACGGTAACTGTGCAAGCTTTGAAATCAAAGGTTGCTCCAGGAGTCACCAAGTCTTTTAGAAATATGTTTACTGTAAATCGTCTTTCTTGCTTCAACCAGGCTTTTGTTCCAAAGGAGAAGCACAAACCAAACCCGACATCAAATAACAAAGCTTAGAAACGATTCTGTGCTCTCCGCCGGTCCGCAGGGACAGAGGTTACTGCTCCGACTGCCTCGGGGCAGGACAGCTTCGGTGCTTGCTCGCAGATCCACCCTTCCGCTCAGCAAACGGCCCCGGGGGACGGGCGCAGGGATAACTGTCCAAAAAAGCTCCATCACCCCTTCCAAAGCAAATGGCTGTGAAAAGTCTTTTGCGTGCTTTAGACTGGTAAAACTGCAATTCCCTGTGAGCTGCAAAGACGAAACCCTTTCTCCGGTTTTAGCTTCTATTTAATAACTTTCTTAATGCTTCAAAGGGATGATAGTTTTTAAGAATTTGGATTTGCAAAAGGAGCCAGTTCTGAGTTTCTGTAAACACTTTAGCTGAACTGGATAAGGTCAAGCCTTTATGTTGATCTTGGCTAAATTTGCAGTGTTTTTGTTTTTGTTTTTTTTAACTGTAGCAATGTTTTGACTTGTTTAGAGTCGGGGAGGGGAATGGTGTAGATTTTAAACATCTCTTATTTGAAATTTGTTCATCTGTGAGGTCTAATCCTCGTGTTGTTTCCAGCTGGGTATGTCTAAGCTCTTCCTTGTTCGTGCATCCTCTGCGTAGGGGACAAGCAGCACTCCCGTCACCCCCGAGAGCTGACTGAAATGTAAAATTCTGGTTCTGGCTGGGTTTTTTTCCCCCCCCGCGCCTGTAATCCCAAACCCCTTCTTTTATCTTCCAAATTTGAATTAGCATGCTGCTCGGTATTTCTGCAAAACATTCCTTCCCAGGATTTCAAAGCCTTTTACAAATGACTGTTTCAGGTTTCACGTGTAAGATAGTCCCAGCCTGGACCCCATTCCCCCTGCCGGGGTAGTCACGGAGTTTGGGCTCCCACATCTCTGCGTTTGGGGGCTCTGAAGCTTTTCTGTGTCGAATGCAGGCCAACCGCTGTCTCGGTCCGGGCTGCCTAGGCATGTTCTCAGGGTGCTTTTCTATTGAGCACCCCCTGGTAACCGGCGAGCGCTCCAGCCCCGTCGCTTGGTTTCTGGGACTAGTGCCAATGGTTAAATTCCCCCGTAGCTTAAACCTCCTCCCAGAGCTGCAGTCTGCAGAGTTGCTGAAACACTCCGGTTATTTTGGGCTTCGGCTGACCTAACGTACCTGTAACCGAACACGTGTTCGTTATGATTTAACAACAGTCTTTTGTCCTTCTGCAGCAGCTGTATGCTGCAGCTCTCAGAGCAAACGCCTGGCCCCGTACCCTTTGAAGCAGACAGCAAAGTTGCGCGTAGTCAGGTTTCTCCAGCTCACTCCACGGCACGTTAATATACGTCTGCTCTACGCATGGGATGGCAAAAAGACTGCTTTGCAAGACCGCGGCATCAAAACTTAAGAGAAAAAACAGGGTTTCTCATTCCTGGTATTCCCAGGGACTTTAGTCTTAGTTTTCTCCCTGCAGACTGTGCATGGCTAGCGCATCGCTCCCTTGACAGCTGTGCGTCCTCAAGAAGCGAGCTCCGTGGGAGTCTTTCCTGCAGGCTGGCACAACGTGCTTTGCTCCGAAACCTTTGCTCGAGGCCAGCTGCACCGTCTAAGCGAACCAGGAGATTGCTCGGGGCGTGCAAGCTCTCGGCAGTCGCTTGAGCTGCGCGATTGACTGCAGCTGCTGAATATAGACGTTGGCCAGATTGCCACTGACACCGCGTTCCCAAGAGTTTGTTAGGTTCCTGCTTTCTTGTCTTAATCCCCTTTGGTTATTCTGTCCCCGGCGTACTTCATAGCTCTTGTCATTGATTGAAATATTGCAAATCAAAGACACGACTGTGTTGCGTGGAAAAGGTTGTTGCAGGAAGGCGGGCCACGTCCTGCCTGTCGGATCAGCAGCACGTTCCTGTTTCTGAAAGCTTAAAACTGCAACATCGGCGAAAAGCCACGCTTTCTTGTAAATTAGTTTTTTCTGCTCTCAAGCGCTCTACAATTTCTGAGCGTGTAGACCTAAATTTTGCTGCAGAAGCTTTAGATATGAGCTTTATAAAGCATCATTTAAGAAGCGGACAGGCAGATTTCACGGAGGCGTGTATCGCTTATCGCCCGCTTGCGCGGAGACGCCTCGGCTTGGGAGCGGGCGCAAGTCCGCCCAGGAGGCCGCCGCGGCTTTCCCGCGCGCCTTCCTCGACCTCTCGCCGCCCGGCCGCAGCGCTGGAATGTAGACTCGAATGTGAAACTGAACTTCTATGCCAATGTACCTGTTTTATAAACGGATTGGGATTTATTTTCACGAGCCGCTACTCAGAGGTGGGATGTGTTACGAGGGTGGGGGGGTTTTTTGGTTTTTTTCCCCTCTTTTTTTCGGCCTGCTGTGAACGGCCGCCGGTTCCGTCCGCTGAAGAACTCGGTGCGTTTGACAGCGGCGTCCTCCCTCCGAGGGCTTTCCCTCGACGCGCGCACGGATGTGGTGTAATTTCGGGCCGTTTCTGGATGCGAGAGGAAGCTTTAGTGCTTGTACGTAGAGGGTGCACGTGGTTATTCGCATGGCGTAGTACCTAACGTTAGCTGGTTTGCCTTGCACTCCGCTCTTGGTAGACTTGTTTACGGTAGTCCAGTGTCGGTTTTGTAACGTTTAAGTTTTAGCACTTTAACTGTGAGTGTACAAACTGATTATCTTGTAGTAGGTGTACATTTTAATTTTAGACCTTTAAAAGTTTTTAATAAAATGATGCAAAAATCCCAGTCTCTTTTGTTAAGAGCCTTGCAAACCCTTTCCAACGTGTACAACTGCAGAGCCCTTTGAAAACCCCGTCTCGGGGGCGGCCGTCGCTAAGTAGGTGACGGATTTAACCGTGCCTTTTGACTCTAGCTGGCAGCAGCCGGGTTTTGAAGAAGCACTCTCTGGACGTAATCTTTTAGCAACATCTGCGCTAGCGGATGCCAGGCATCCTTCCAGCAACCACGAGGCGCTTTGCGCGATCCGGCGTTTGGATCGTTCCACCCTTGTACGAGCGACCGTCCCAACGACCGTCACGTCGCGAGCAAGCGCCTCGGCCAGCTACTGGGGAGCCACAACGCTTGAGGGTGTTTTGGGGTTTATGCTTTATTTTTTAATTGCCAAATCAAACCACAGAGCGGAATAACTTCTTTTTTCCATACCTGTTGAACGTTGGGTCAAATGCGTGAGAAGCTTTGGCTAGCTGTAAAATGCTAGGTTTTTCCTTCCAGGCCGTCCTGTCTGTGCAAACGCTTGCTGCTTGCAGCGCTCGGAGAGTTCGGGTTGTTCGGACCTGCTGAAGGAAAGGCTGTTTTCCTTCCCGAGGAAGAGAAGAGACGCCGAGTTGGAGCCGGAGCTTGGGAAAAGGCGTGCGGGTCCTTGCTCACGGGGATCGGCGGCACGGGGCCTCCCTGCCGCGCACGGCCCACAAGAGCACGTGGGTTTTGGAGCTACGTTCAGCTTCGGAGACAGGCGCTCTCTGTGACGGTGCTGGTCCTCGGGAAGTCTCCCCGTTGGGGGTTCAGAGGAGTGCCGGTCGTGCTCCTAATGTCACATCTCTAACATCCTTTTTTGGATACAGCTCTGCCCCTCTGGCCACTGACTCTGGTGTCCCACGCTGCAATTGCTTCCCTTGTTGGAGGGCAGAAGCACCTGCAGATGCACCCAAAGCCGCAAGAAATGAAGATTGCCAAGAACTCCCTGAAAACCGAGACGGCAACAAAACCACGGGAGAGGTGAATGCAGAAGGCCCTTTGCTTTAGATGTTATCTCCAGCTAAATGCCGTGCAGTGGGGAAACGGCCGGGTCCTTCGGTGAGGACACGTGCTGGGATGCGCGTTTCAGACCCCCAAACCCAGCCTCTGTGCACCGCCACGGCTTGGGGCAAGAAAAAAATCCATTAAGTGGCCGCGG